TATGGGTATTAAGCTGATGGTTCCTGCTTCCTTCCTCCAATTTCTTTTATCCCTACACAATCCTTAATTTTTATGACTGGGGGGGGATGGGCCATCTCAGTGATTGATGAAGTGAGAGAGGCATTGATGAATGAAAGGTATAAACATGGCTTACTAGCTGAAGAATCACTACTTGTGTTTGAATTATTTTCCTGGTCATAGAAACAGACTTGGAATGATTCATCCACGCTGAGCCCATGGCTTCTAGATTACACTAGAAGCAAGTGTAATCCAAATTTCCTCAAGCCTACTGAGTTTACATGGCTAGGGGACTCAAGTGCCCTGCTCATGCCACCAGCTGTGTAGTGAATGACCTTCAGTGCCAATCAGGCTTCCACCAAGTTATTGCTGGATCCTCTGGGGCTGCCTCACACGAGCTCATGAGCAGTGTTTCCATTTTGGACCCTCTTGTCAATGTGGTTTGAGGGCAGTAACTCATTGCTGCCATTGTACAATCTCCTGAGGCTTCCCAAATCACAAAACCTAATGTGCCCATGGTGCCTGGCCTATCTGCAGTTCTTTCTGCACCTAAACCATCCATGCAGAGGTGAAGCCATGCTCAGTGTGATGGTGTATGCCTCTTCGCCCTTGCATGGGTCTCTGAGTCTTCCAGAGTCCTTCCCTCATATGGTGTCTCTGTCTTCTATGTGTCGCCTTCTCCAAGGCCTCAGACATGAGTGTGTGGGACTGGCTGGAGTCAGTATTAGACATGGACTCTCCACCAGCTCACTGAATGTGCCCAGACAAAGCAAATCCCAGGAGTAGATGCAAATTAGTATGGAATTGGGATCCTATCCTCTCATGTAATTTCAAGATTATTTCCAGACAGATCCAGCTCAAGGATTAGAGTGAGGCTAACATTCCCACTCAGTCCTGGGACACACTGCTTTGGCTCTGTAGCTCCATACTCCAGCTGTGCTGTGTGTTGTCCCAGGTGTATGGCATCCACATCTTTGGGGTGCTTGTTAAAAATGCAGAATCTCAGGCTCCAGCCCAGACCTACTAAATCCAAATCCACATTTTAACCATAACCCCAGGTGATTTACATGCACATTAAAGTCTGAGAAGCACAACTCTGGATCCTGACTGACAGATCAGACTGTACCAAAGAAAGGTTGCTAAAGTGATCCTCCAGATTTGGGGAGCCATGCAGCATAGCATGTTTCATGTAAATCCAGTGTTTGCTTGCTATTAACTATCTACAGAGACTTTTTTCTGTCTTTATTTACCATTTTCACTTAAATTCAGATTTTATTTTTGGATTTTGATATTCGTGTTAGTCAATAATGGAACTTGATATTGCATATTAACTTGAATTTTCCCTCCCCTCCATTCTTCTTGGGTTAAGAACTCTGATAATAGAATGAAACTATAGAGCTGACATTCAAGGAAAATCCACAAAATGAATTCCTTTTTATCTTCAGGCAGAGCAGCTCCAATGAATAAAGTACTGTAATAAAACCTTTTTATATGCCTGTCATAGAAAGACAAACCTTTTCCAAAGGAAATGGATTTGAGTATTTGCGAGATATGATAAACAGCCTGACAAAAAAAGGGCCTGAATTTCTCTTTTAAATGTTCAGTGGGGGGAGGTTTTAACTTCTCTTGTCAGGTAAGAAAAGAATTCATTATGAAAGCCATTCCAGCTGAAACTCAGAAATGAAAACTAGACCAGATCAGAATAGAAAGCAATGATTTAGAAATGTGTTAAAGGGAGTAGTTTAATGAATAAAGTGTCAACTTTCTATAGGAGCAAAAATAAATCATGCACTGGCTTAACCAGTTTTGTCGCTGTGTTTTAGCTGGGTGTAGCTGGCACCACCACTCATTGTAAGGAAACATTAAAATCTAATTCTCACTAAGATCTCTATGTGTGAATTGTTGATAATGATGTTAATAATAGCATTGTATCCATTTTCTGACTTCTCTATTCCAGCAATTGCTAAAGGGAGAAAGAAAATAAGGAGCATTTGAATGAAAATGGCCCTAATTTTCAGTTTTTCCACTCAGCAGATAGTTTTGAGCCCTAGAATCCATCAATCTGTCCTGCTGCAGAATTGTCCAGACTCTCAGGTTTGCTGTCCTGCGTCTTGGTTTCCAGGTATATTTGTTTCCTAGGGCTTCCCTAACAAAGCACCACAGACTGGGTGCCTTCAACAATAGAACTTTATTCTCTCCCAGTTTTAGAGGCAGAAGTCTTAGACCAAGGTGCCGGAAGGGTTGGTTCCTTCTGGGGACTGTGCTGGAGAATCTGCTCCATGCTTCTCACTGAGCTTCTGGTGATTTGCTACCGATCTGTGGCTCATAGATGTATCACCCCCATCTCTGCCTTCGCCTTTACATGGCCTTTTCCCTGTGTGCAGGTCTGTGGCCCAATTTTCCCTTTTTATAAGGACAGCCATTATATTGAACTTGTGCCCATCCTAATGACCTTATCTTAACTAATTACATCTGCAGAGACTCTACTTCTAAATAAGGTCGCAGTCTGAGGTACTGGGAATTAGGACTCCAGTTTATCTTTTTTGGGAGACACAGTTCAACCCATTAACACCAGATGCTTCATAATGGCCTCATTGTTTTTATTTGTTGATAACTAAATTCCATGGTCCTACCACGCTCTGGGGCTTGGAAGCAGAGTTCAGCAAATCATCATTGAATGAATGCAGTAATTCCTTACCTAGGTATTCACACTTACAAAGCACCCTCACATACCTTTGAGGTATAGATTATATTTTATGTTATAAGTGAGGAAATGGAGGCACTATGAGGTTGACAGAATATGCTTCTTATATTCTATAGTTGTCTGCTTTTGTTTTCTTCTTATTGTCTGTTTGACTTAAAGTGAGTGCAGGGACCTTGATTATTTGCTTATGTCGACCACCTGAGCTTGGTACTTGTGAGATGGTTAGATTCACATAATTACTACTGTCTTTTTACGTGTAATATGAAACAAAACAAAAAGAATGAAAGTACAATTTTAAGAGAAGATGGAAACTTTAATGTGAAAATATACATCAGACTGTGTTATAGTGAGAAATATCTAATTCAATGCTTACACACGTTCATGGTCTCCTCAGCAGACTGCAAGGAAAAACGGTCATTATGCGCTCGCTAGTCCTTAAACACTGAGGACAGAAAAGCAAACAATGGATATGTTTAAAATAAAAGCAATGCTTGTATTTCCTACCTCTTCCTTTTCCTTTTTGTATTGAGTCCCCACCAGTACCATCTAGGATATTGTTGCTGGAGATTTGCTCTTTAATAAGTAAAGAAAACCAAATACCTGAATTTTAGCTCATTTTCATCTACTGTTCATCTAATGGCAACCTTAATGAGCAGCCTAATGGCCAAGAGTAGCAGGAACAAAAAGGCAGGTGAGAAAGCAGGGGCCTGCATAATTCCTAAGCTGAGTTCTTTTATGTAAGTCACTTACAAATGGCTGGAAAATTATGTGAAGCTCTCTCTTAGAAGATGCAGGTTTACTTTGGGTGAATTCATTTTTCCATGATCATTTTCACCATTAAATGAAAGTATTGAAGAGCTGGAAGGGGCCTTGCAATTTTCTAGGTCAACTCTTTCATTTCATAGGAGGACACTGAAGCCCAGAGATGATAAGACTCTTGCCCAAGGCCACAGAAATCTATTTCTGCCACAGCCTGTGCTGGATTCTATGCTTTCTTCATGCCATGCCTGAGTCTCTATAGTTTTAGGTATGTTGTATATTCCCCTCCAGAACTGAGAGGCTTTTTTTCTCCTTTCTTTCCTTTCTCACTCTCTTTACTTTTTTCTATCTTCTCCTTTTCTCTTTTCTTTCTTTTCAGGTGCTGCTGATAGCTGTGTTCCCTGTGGAAGAAACTGCTTTCCTGCATGTCTCACTCTGGACACTGGAATTTTGACTGTATGTGTCTAGTGGGTGCTAAGTATCTATTTATATTAATACCTGGAGGGGTATGATGCTATACTCTACTATGTAAAGGTAACAAATGGGATATGCTGGCAATGACTGAACTCCCACTATGGATAACCTGGGCTTGATCATTTACAGCAATCATGAATACCACCTAGTGATGTGAGTTTCCTTTCTACGTGCTAACCTCCTGGTGAAGCCCTCAGCAAAGTGTGGCCAAGGAACTGTCTCAGTCCTGGTCTGATGAAGTCATCTTTTCTTATGTGTGGCCCATGCTGTTCTTGATCCTAACCTGTCTATTAGACTACTGATTGCTTGTGTCTGGCTCTTATTACAGAATTAAGTCCTTCTCTGCCATTGCTCCAAGCTCATTTTCAGGTTGAGTCTACATTAATGGTATTTAAAGGAGGCTGATGTCCCTCAACATGCTCAGCAAAAACATTAGCTTTCTGCTGACCACAGTTGTCAGAGCCTCTCTTTTCCCAAGGCTCTGAAACTTCTCTTGTCTCTGATCTGAGCTGCTGGGCTCTGCCCCACTGCCCTGGGTTCTACCCTTGAGTTTTCCGCTACACTGTGACAGGGATGGACCTTCCCCGTTGGCTTAATTTGGTAAAAAGAATAACTTCCAGATGGGAGCCAAGCAGAAGATAGGTCCTCTTTGGCTTTAAACACAGAGGCTATCATATTTCCTAGCCAACTGGGCTCCCCCAAATATTCTCCTTGGCTGCCAAAGTTCTCCATTTGGCTGTTGACCTCTTCATACCTTCACTCTCAGTGTGGGCTATTTAAGTACAAATCACCTCCCAAAACAATGCTGGGGAAGGAAATGATCGTATGTGGTTATATATTGTGATTTTGATTCTTCAGGGTCCCTCAACTGAACTGAGGAGATGAGAATATCTCTCAGTGTTTGTGCTTTTGATTGAATTCTGGTTTCAGAAATAGTGAGGTTGTGAGAAATCAGTGAGGTTGTGCTTTTTCATGCAAACCAAAACAAAACCCAAAACGAAACTGTGGTCTCATGAGGGAAGTGATGTGTCCAGGATGGACAAGAAGATAATGGGGGCAGAGCTTGTATTCCCAGGTGAGCAATGGCACCGAAGTCAATGAGGGGGCTGTGTGACATCTGACTTTAGAGCTGTCATAGTCCTCTCTCCTTCTGTCTCTCTTGTCCTAACCCTCACCTTTTCTCCTTTTGCACTTCTGCAAGCCTCTCTCATTTACTCACCACTGTATCAGATGGTTAGCTGACCACCAAAAACCTGTTGCCTCCTTCAGCTGATGTGGGACCTTTCCCGGGAGAAGGTAAGCCAGGCAGGGATTGCATTTTCTGGCCCACCTTGCATATACGTATGGCTGTGAATGTGAGCAGAGAAATGCTCATTTAGGGCTGGGGCTGTGGAGAGTGAATGTGCATTCTCTATGGGCTCTTCCCTCTTCCAGCAGTGGAAGTGGAGCACTCTGGGGCTCTAGAGAAGAAGTTTCAACTTGTGTTGCTCATGGAATCACCTGGAAACCATTAAAAACTCCGACAGCACAAGACCTCATGCTCAGAGATGCTAATTAAGTCAGCTTGGGGTTTGGTTGGGGGCAGCAGGAGTTTTAAAAGCTCCCCGAGGTGTGCTGGAGGCCAACCAAGGCAGAGATCTGGTGCTCTGTAGGGGTGGCTGAGCCAAACAAAGGAATTGTCATGGGGAGGAAACCTTGCTACCACCAGGAACACCCGTGGCCCTGGAAATTTGAGGTTTGTAATAGCAGCTGTTATTCCTATTAATTTATCTTTTATTGAGCACGGAGAGATTTTCTCCCAACACCTTCCAGCTGCTTTGTTTTGTTGGATTAAACTGACCCACAAGTGGGCAACTGGGGTGCTGTTGGGGTGCACAGCTGCCCCTCATGTTGGCATTCCCAGGTGCTGCTACTGTCACAGTGAGAATTTTGGAACCAGGTATAGCACCCCTGTCAGAAATAAGCTCATACATGGAGATAATTGTTTATTTGAAAAATGGTGATTCCCTCAAGTTTGCATTTGTCCTGTAATTCTATTAGTCTTTGTTATTCTGTTTACTGATATCCATTGCTCAGTATGACATCTTCTGCTCTGTGGGTTGGTGATATGATTCCACATTTGATTTTTCTAAGGTTTCTGATACCGCTTTGTGGAAAAAATGATTGTTAGTGTTTAATTGCAGTATATTTCTCAACTAATTGTCTCAAAACTGTAGGGTGTGTATTTGATTTCTTTGATTGATCTTTTTTGTGTATGTGTTTTTCCAAAATCTTGAATAACTTAGGAGCAATCCTTAGTTTGCAGCTAATTTGGTGTCTAGCAATTATGTATCCTTCTGAAGTGGCATATTTCATTCAGGTGTCTGAACGCAGAAGAGGACTGCTTCATAATAAGGCTCATTGTTATGTGAACTTGAGCATACTGTGGAGCCATTCAGGTTCCTAGAAACCTGGTGCTTATCTTCAGGTCAGGTCATGTTCTAAAAGGAGAGATGTCGGTCCTATCTCCAGACATTAGTGTTGATGGGTTGGTAAGTTTTCTGCTTGCTCTAAGCTCTTTCTGTTGTGTTCATTGAAAGCAATAATGAAAAGGAAAATTGAGCTTGCCAGAACTCCTAAATCAAACTTGAAAACTTAGCAGTAGATAAGAAGTAGGGTCAGCTTTGCAGTGGAAATGGCTGTGATAGGGGAGTAAGCAGCGGTAATACCGATGCTTTAGGATTATTCTGGGTCATGAAGAGAGCTGTCCCAGATGGGTGGTAATCCACCTGAAAACAGGCAAAGGGACTCTTCTACAACAAACTGTGCACTTTCCTCACAGATGCCTTAAGGCAGGACTCCCCAGCCAGAAGGTTAGAATCTCACCTGTCAGATCTAGAAGCTTCAATGTTGTTCTTCCTATTACTGGAGACTTTCCTCTCTGTCATACTCTTCTCCTGGGAGTTTTCCAGAATTACCAGGGGAAAGGAGGACAGGGTGAAGAATAGGTCTCCTTTCTCTTCTTCACAGGAGATTTAATTGGCAGTCTTCAATGGAGGCTGAGGTCCTCCTTGTCAGGAATCCCCACCTCAAAGTGATCTCAGGGCTTTGGGTAGGACAAATATGTCTTGTCAGTGACTTCCAGGAACACATGTGTGGTTGGACAAGTTGGATTTGTTGCTTGGTGTAATGAGGGAAATAACACACCATGGGGAGCCATGGGGAGATTCAGTTAAAGGATGCTAGGAAGAATCTACTATAGGATTTTGGTTTGTGTTCAGTGATTTGGGGAAGAGTTCAAGAGATCAGAACTGGATGCTTTTAGAAAGTGGAGGTAATACTATGATTGGGTAGATACCAATCTTTTCTAGAAAGTGGGATGAACAAATCAAGGCAGGAGCTATATTCAGTAAAGAAGATTGGTCAATCAATAGCAGGATGGGGATGTTTGGTCATTTTTGTGCTTTAGACAATATTCATATTTTTGTCTGTGCTCAGACATGATTATGGAGTGGTGGTTTTTTTGCTTCAATCCATCACAGTCGTCGAGTGGCCTTGTCTGGTATCAGTACTCTGTGAAACTGTTTATATTCGACAAGGCCTATTTGCACGTGCCAGTGTTAGCAACTGGCAGCACCAAGTCCTGGCTGATGGAACTAGAGCAGTTCCTGGACGTCAGGAAGAAGAAGCTTTTCTTGTTCTTAAGCTGGTACAGTCTTATACAGCCAATATTGATCACTATGAGGGAAATAGTTCTGAATTGTGAATGTAATAGTAATTAGCCATTGCCATGAGTCTTCTGAGGGCTCTCTCACACCCCTGCCCCTCTGCCCTTCTTCACCTCCCCACCACCTCCAAGTTAGTGGCCCAGTAGGGAACCTTCTGGTCACACTCTGGCTCAACTGAAAGCGTTTGTTATGACGAGTCAGTGCTGGTGTGGTACCTGCTGGTAACATTTGGAATATCGCTCCAGCTTTGGGATGGAGCCCCTTTCCACATTAAGACTGAGAAGAGGCAAGAAGAAAGAGGCAAGGGAAGAAATAGGAGAGGAGAAGAAAGCAATAAGGGGCAAGAGAGGAGAGTGCAGGGTAACTACGTGAAAGTGAGGTAGCAGGAAAGTGTGAAAAGACATCTAGAAAATGGAGCAGAAATGAAGCCTGAAAAGTGCACTAGCAAAGGCTAAAACCTGGAAAGATCTGAGAAGGAAGAGAAACACAGAAGAAGGGAACAGAGGACAAGAGGGAAATTCAGGCCAAGGCGCCCACCTGAAGGGTCTTACATTACGCTGTGGTTCAGTTATATTGAATATGTTTCCAAGTGAGTTTGCTATCAGCCAGGGCTTAGAAAACTACATTTTGTTACAGAGAACTTTGTGTTGGACTTGGATCAAATCTGACAGGATTTAACCTGTAAAGAAAAAAAGAAAATGGAGCTTTCCAGACTAATGGCCACTCGAGGCACAGCGTTATGGAAGCTGGTTATAATTCACAGCTTGGCACTTTCATTGATTCTGTTTCATTCCATGATGCTTCTTTGAATCACGACTTGCACAGGTTCCTACTTAGGTTTGAAAAACTTACTGTCTTTGAGTTAGGATGAAAAACAGCATGCATTTCCCTGCCAAGTCTTCCAGAGAAGGCAGTGCAAACATATGGTAGATAAAGCTGCACAGAAAACCTTGATTAACCCCATAGTGATGTGAGCTGGGGATCACACGTGAAGGCCTTTCTCTCCCGCTCATGCAGAACTTCTACAATTAGCCAGCAGGAGCAAGGACTGGGCTGGTGGCACACATCCTTTCCTCTGAAGTTGTGGTTCTTTGAATTGGCAGCATGACCACTGCTCCTGGGAACACACAGGGACATTTGAAGGTATCAGTGAGAAGGGAAGAGAAGGTAAGGGTGAAGCAGAATAGGCAGGGCATTGGCAGATGGAGGCTGGGTCCTGGAAGCCCAAGTGGGCCTGGAAGCTCACTCTATCCTGAGTTCTCACTGCAGCTCTGTGTGTCCAGGTACTCTGGGGCATCTCTGGCAGCCAGAGTCTTTCTGTGCCCTGCTCTGTGGGTTAGAAGCAGATGAATATGAGACTCAGACTAGGGTAAAGCAGATAAGATACTCAGAGTAACTTTTCCATTAAATCTCTTTAGAGATTGCTTTCCCTAGAGACATGAGTGGTGTGCGTATATATGTTCTCTCTCAAGGGATAATTGTTGGAGAAGCTTTTCGTTTGGGGGTCTCCCTTTGTCTGGATACTGGATATATAATTTGTCTAAATGTCTTTGTTCCAATTTCTGGCTGGGTGACTATTCCTGAGAAGCTGGATTTCCTTCCTGGCCAAGGAGGGGTAGGTCATTTTTATTAAGAGTTTTCCTTTGAGTCTCAAATGTTTTCTATCTACTTCCCTTGGAGACAAGAGTGTATAATGGATGAAGTTACATTTTATCTAGCAATCTGAGACCTGAACATATCATTCTTCTTTCTCTAATCTCTTAAACAGAGCTCTATAATCTCAGGATAAAACCCAGATTCCTTACCAGGTGGCCCTTTAGCATTCCCCCTCACTTCTCCCCACCATTTATCCTGCTTCATGTCTCATTCCCTCCCCATGGAAATCCTGCAAATCCTCCTGCATAAGTTGTACTCATTCTTGTTTTTTTTTTGCCAATGCATGGGCTGTTCCAAGAGAAAGCACTTGTGCAACATACCATCTAGCTGAGCAGAAAGGATATGTCCCTGGTATATTAGACTCATTTAGGTTGCAAGGAAAAGACTTGCCCAGAGTCTATTTGGGGTCTATTTTGAGGATATGCAGGGAATTAAGAAAAACAGAAAATTGTCTTAATCACTGCATTGCCATACTCATAAAAAATGGGAAAGTTATGTAGGAACTACATCATGGTTCAGGATATGACATGGCTTAGCTCATTATTGCCTCCCTTGGCTAGTGTTTCCCATTAACACATCTCATCTATTTCTGTCCAAGGTTTCACTGTCTATATTACTGACTCACTCTGCTCTCTACCTCATAGGTGTGTTTGGTTTATTCATGGCTTCTGCTTAGTGCTTTTCTCAAAGTGACTTTCTCTGCTTCCATTGCATCTACGTCTGTTTTCCTCTCCATATGTTTTACACAGAAACTTCCTCAGAGAGGGACTCTGGGTAGTCGGCATCCAGGATGGAACGGCACGTTGGGCCTGGCTTTGGTTTTGCTCTTTCTCCCAGGGCACTGGCCAGCCAAGAGGTAGCTGCCTTGGTCCAAGACTAATCCCTGGGCCAATCAGCTGTGGCTGATGTAGCACAGTTACCAGATGGA